CCCTAGTACACATGGTACAGGCCATATTCATGGTGAGTAGAAGTTGGCGACTGCTTTTTACTGTAAGCGCACCACATGTCTACACATGTGAAAAGCAGTTCGACTTTTGCAATTACAAATGTGCCAGAGCCCCGTATAGTTACTTGCACTCGCTTGTAGGGTTGGATTTTTAAAAGAATCGGAGGCCATTGGAGCATTTTTTTTTAATTATTAGAAAAAAAGTGCCCAATGCGGGATTCAGTCCCGGGTCATAGCGGTTGAAAACCAATGATTTAGACCATCCTTTACCACTGACCCCCGTGATACCTATATTATTCAGATGTGTCACGAAATTGTCTAAATGAGTTTTGAAACAAAATTATCAAGATCAAATTATAGTGTCCAAAACTGCAATCAATCATTCTTCAGTAAATAAGCTCTCAAGCATTTATAACAAATTCCCAATTCTTATCAATTTATTGGCAGCTGTGCTGGTGTAACAACTTTTTATTGTGATGGGACGTATTTCCCCCAACCTGAAATCTCTGTGTGTGGGAGAGAATTAAAGTGATTGTCATTTATTTATAAGGAATAAAAAAGGTCACCTCTCTCAGCAACATTTAGGAAATGAAAGCATGAATGTTTCTTTTATATATAAAACAAACTTCTACTGCCCTTACTGCGATGAAAAAATATTGGGAAGGCTTGGCTCATCAGTGGTTTCGCCAATTAAATATACTAGACTGCCTTTTAGAGCTTTAATACTGTATTGGAAGATTCTGCTTATATATGCTACACTGAAGGGTAAGGGGTCGGTGGAAGAGTGGTCTAAACTGTTTGTTTTTGACCACTACGACCCAGGATTGAATCCCGCATTGGACACTTTTTTCTAATAAAAAAAAAATTCTCCAATGGCCCCTGATTCTTGAAAAAGCCCAACCCTACTCAGCGAGTGAAAGTAACCAAACGGGGCTCTTTTATATTTGTAAGTGAAAAAGTCACTGATTTTCACATGTGTAGACATGTGGTACACTTACAGTAAAAGCAGTTGCCAACTTCTACCCACCGTGATTATCATGGCCTATATACCACGCATACTAGGGATAATAATAATAATAAAAAAAAACACTGAAGGGTGTAATCTCAAAATGGTATTCAGGAAAACTATGTACATAAGGTTTTAGGACAGTAGAATTACATATGTCCCTCTATTGACCATCTCAGTGTGGTTGGTGACTCCAGGTCTGACTTGTGTCAATAGACATTGTGGGATGAGGGAAGTGACCTTGGTGAAGATAATATTTTGCCTTGATTCTTACAATGCCCTGCTAAGGAGGGTTCAATATTGACAGGGAGGATCAAGAGAAAAGTTTGGGTGATTCAATCCTTGGTAAAACTTAAGAAAATAAAAAAATCGTAGTAAGAGAGTAAATCTTGGAAGCAAGAACGAAAATGAAAAAAAATCATTAATATATCACCATTTTACAATATAATATAATGCGGCTTGTAATTGTAAAACGACATTTGAAATACTATCCCGCATGAGTTTCTTTTGAACGAAAAATCAAAATTTTATTTCAAGGAGAAATAACGATTATTTCTAACCTTTGGGATGAGGTATGAAAGGATGAATTGTGAAGAGTAATGATAAACGGAAAAATAAAAGTGTCCAGGGATGGGAATCGAACCCACAGTGTTCCGCTTACCGGGCAGATGCCATGTCCACTAGGCTACCCACACTTCACAATTCACCCTTTCATATCTCATCCCAGAGGTTAGAAATAATCGTTATTTCTCCTTGAAATGAAATTTTGATTTTTCGTTGAAAAGAAACACATGCGGGATAGTTTTCAAATGTCGTTTTACATATCACCATTTTATCATTCCAAAATATTGGTCCAATAACAAATGATAAGGTACAAGTAGGATTATAGATTAAGAAAACATTTGTTACTTTAACATTCCAAAACAAAGTAATTTTGTATATTTTCAAGTAACATAAGGATGACACATTTTTAAATAATTTCCTATTCTCACTCTTGCACTATTAAATTTTTTAAAATCTTTTTTTTTTCAATTGTCAGTTTTTTACCTTCTCTTTTGAAAAATTCCCAAAAATTTAGATTTAAAAAAAATCTAAAACAAAATTATCACAAGGGTAGTTGTAATTATGGTTATAATTGTAACTATGGATAATTCTGAGATATCTTTCTGGGTTTCCTGACACTTTACTGATGGGTAGAAGCTCCATTTATAAAGGAAATAAGAGTTGCGGTAGAAGGGTGGTCTAAACTGTTGGTTTTTGACTGCTACGACCCGGAATCAAATCCTGCATTGGGTACTTTTTTTTCTAAAAAAAAAATGCTCCAATGGCCCCGATTCTTGCAAAAGTCCAACCTAACCAGCGAGTGCAAGTAACCAAACGGAGCTCTGGCACATTCGTAAGTGCAAAAGTCAAACTGCTTTTCACATGTGTAGACATGTGGTGCACTTACAGTAAAAGCAGTTGCCAATTTCTACCCACCATGATTATCATGGCCTGTACCACATGTACTTGGGATAAATAAAATAAATAAACCATTCAATTCTACTGTCCTTACTGCGATGTTTCCAGATAGACCAGATCATTGAGAATGTCAAGTATATAAAACCTACTGTACCTGTCTCATATACTCCTTCTTGGTGAAGACCAGCTCGTGGTAGATGACCCAGCGTGGAGGATCCTCTACAAGAGAGGAGCTGGGGTGTATGGCCACCGTCTGTTGTTGTTTGACTGTCTTGTACGTGCCTCCCTTCCCCATCCGCGCTGTGTTGTAGAAATACCCGGCGGTGATGGCCTTGCGCACCGCCACCGTGTCGGACTCACAGGAAGTCATCTCAATCTCCACTCGCTCCATCAGGCCCTCTAGCTGCTCACGTACATCTCGCGCACGGCGCATGGAGCGGTGCTGGATGAAGTTCTCAAAGCACCACTGCGTGGAGTAGTTGGTCTCAACCCACTGCCACACATCAACACTGTGTGTTAGGCATTTATCTTGTCAAATCTGCACAATACTTCAAGACATATCTGAGGGATCCTGACAAAGATCATGAAATCTTTTGAAATATTAAAAAAAAAAATTTCTTTAATTTAAAACAACCTATACAGTAGAACCTCCATGAGAGGAGACCTCTCTATAAAGGACAATTTTCATCATCCAAAATTACTACTGTTGCTAATTTAGTAACTCTCCGGAAAGAGGACACCTTTCCCTAAAGAACACTTTGGCTCTGCACTGCACTGCCCCTACAGTAATGGTAAAAATATTGGCACAACCTTGCCCATATATGGTGAAATTTCCCAGCAATTTAACCATCAATTAGGTAGCTCTACTATTGTACTGGGCTCAAGGTAATAAGACCAAATCCAAATAAATAAATAGTGTGTGACGTTTCGGTAACAACGCTGTTACCGAAATGTCACACACTATTTATTTATTTGGATTTGGTCTTATTACCTTGTGTTTATAATCTATAATCCAAATTGTGCCTTATCAATTGTACTGGGCTGTTCTGCTGATGTAACGGTCAATTCAGCATAGTTTTTTTGATAATAGCATTTAAGGTAAAAAAATATGGACATTAGTTGTGTTGAAAAACATTATTTTTATTTATGTTTTGGTTAAAAAGTGAAAAATCGTGAAATGATTAAAGAAGTCTCTCTCGATCATAGAACTGAACATTGATGAGAACATCAAGATTCTATAGTTGTGTTGCATAATCTGATGATGATATAAGAATTTATTTGTTTTAATTGCGATTCTGCACCCTACAGTATTGTTTAGCAACATTCTGAATTAATAAATGAAATATTCAAGAAATTATTATTTATTTGGTAAAATCTTTGTGGTTGAGTGAGAAAATTGGCTCAGAGAGACCCAGGATTCATTAGAGAACACAGAAGTTGCCAACTACCCGGGTTTATCAGACTGCAGTGTTGGGTAGATTAAACTGGTCAAACAGCTCCATGTTTCACCACTGATGAGCCAAATAAGAATATTTTTGCATTGCAGTCGGGAAAATAAAGAATTTCTAATAAAAAAAAAAGTCATATTAAAAAAAATTTGCAACTTTTGAAGATGAGTTTGTTATTTTCATATCAACACAAAAGGTTATACTTTTGACTGATGATGGTAACAATGCTGTTACTGAAACATCACACTATTTATTTGGATCTGTTCTTATTACATTGTGTTTATAATCCTAATTGTGCCATATAATTTTTCATCAACAGTCCTCATAATTATATTCAGTCTGCCAACATCTAGGTAACATACTCCCACCACCTTCAGGGGACATGGGTTTCTTAATTCTAGTTCTGTGTTCCTATGTACACTTTTTTATAAAATACATGTAAATCATACAAATTTTTTAAGTCACCTAATCTAATGTTTTAAGAGTAAATAATATTATATATATATTATTGGTGTTATGGCTTTGTCACCGACCCGATGCCGCTAGTTGCGGCGACGGTCAATAGATGGCGTCAGATTCTGACGTTTATTTTGACAGGAGAGGCGACCATTGCTTCCATATATATATATATACTAGCCGAATGACCCGGGCAACGCCCGGGGTTTACCCGATTAAATGCTTTTATTCAAATACTATTCGTTACAATTATAAATTGGCGCCGTGGATGTCATTCTTGTATAATATATAAATGAGTTTTAAAAATTGTAAAAAAAAAATGCATCGGCCGGGAATCGAACCTGGGACGCCCGCATGGCAGGCGAGCGTTCTACCACTGAACCAAAAGCAAACGGTGACAGAATTAAGAACGCATGACGCTGATAACTGTATATATTAATTTTAATAATATAAATGAGTTTTAAAAATTGTAAAAAAAAAATGCATCGGCCGGGAATCGAACCCGGGGCGCCCGCATGGCAGGCGAGCATTCTACCACTGAACCAAAAGCAAACGGTGACAGAATTAAGAATGCATGACGCTGATAACTGTATATATTGTAAAAAAAAAAATGCATCGGCCGGGAATTGAACCCGGGGCGCCCGCGTGGCAGGCGAGTCAGCTTTAGCAGTCAGCTTTGCCGAGGAACATTGAATCTTGTATATATAAGTAGAACTAGAATTATAGACCACTATTCCCCTGAGGAAGATGGCAATATTCACTGAAACATTGTGGAAAATTTAAGTAGGGGGTTGATGCAAACTAAATTCTTTTTTTTTCAACAAACTTCAAACCAATAAATATGTGGGTGAGTCAATAAGTTTTAGGAAAGTGTCCATATATAAAAAATAAAGGAGTATAAACTTAGCTTTTTTTCTACATAATCACCATCAATGTACCATCTTGTACTAGCTTGTCTACTACTACTCCGCCCTTGCCGGTCCCAAGCCCGGATGAAAAAGGAGGAGGGGGAGCAGTAACAAGCTCGCTAAAAAACCTGGGCTCAGCTGGCCCGGCTGATAGTACCCTGTAAGGGCTCCTAATCCAGGGATACAGGATGAGCAGCGTTTGTACTCCATGTTAGGAGCGGCTGCACATGGCGTCTGTTCCTCATGTCAGAGGCGGCCATTTCTTTTGGAGCTAAGTCGGCCTGCCACTGGGTAGTGCTCCCAGTCTTAATGACAAAGGCAGACGCATTTTACTTCACCCAGTCATGATCTCAAGCTTCACAAGCCGGATACCCTAATATAATTGAGTGGAGATAAGAAAGAAGAAGAAGCTTGTCAAATCCCTGAGGAAAGAAGATTTGCAGTAGTTTCCTACACCAATCTTGGGTAAACTTTTCCACCACTGATGAGCCAGTCCCTTCCAATAATTAATCATTGCAGTAAGGGCAATTGTTTAATTTTTAAAAGAATCTAAACTCATCTAAAATAGTTTCAATTTCTTATTACCTTGTGTTACTAAGTGTTCATTATTGTGATTGATTGAGAGGGCCATCAGCTGTGAACCCTCCCAGCAGTTTCACCAGTTCAATCTACCAGACACCCCTCTAATACTCTATATATTGGACTTATATATATCTGACAATGTAGAGGAATTCTCTTCAGCAAACTATGGATATAGGCTTTGAGGACTGTCAAAATATATATAAATACTTGATGAGCCAAGCCCTTCCAATATTCTTCCATCTCTGTAAGGACAGTTGGGGTTTGTTTGAAAAAGAAATCATTGCGCCAAATAGTTCCAATTCACATATATAGAGGGCGGGCAGATGTTTAACCTAGGCTGGGATTTAGTCACCTGGGAGTAGACGTTGAGTAGGGTGAGATGGTCACCTCCGGGAACAGTGAAGTTCTTGCGGGCAGTGTCGGCATGCACCCCCTTGTCCTTGGGCCGGTAGAAGACTGAGCCTTGGACAGACAACATGGCTGCCACAGTGACGGCCTCCTCGGTGCACTTGTAGGTTTCTGAGGCCAGCAGCATCTTGGACAACATGGGGTCCACTGGGAACTCTGCCATCCGGCGGCCCAGCTTGGTCAGCTCACCTGCGTGGTTCAAGGCTCCCAGTGCATAGAGCTGTTCCAAGGCTAGGATCTGCACAGCAGGAAGGAAATTAGATTGAAGGTATATATAATCCACAGAACCATACAATCTCTCATGGGAGACTACCAATAAAATAGATATATTAGGTATCTTTCAGAGGTGGTCTCTCATTGGAGGTTGAGTTAGGTTGGTTCAAGTCAATTTTGATTTATAAAGGTGGTGCTAATCAAAGAAGTTGTTCCTAGAAGATATTACTGTTACAACAGCACATAAGAGACACAAGATAACAATTACAAATAAATAATACATGGTGAGGAATGGTATAAACAGACACAACCCCAGATTAAGTCCTACAATGGGCACTTTTTTCTGAAGAAAAAGAAAATTGTTTCAATGGCCTCCAATTCTTGCAAAGCTTAACCCCATTAGTGAGTGCAAGTAACCAAAAGGTGGGGGGTTTGACACACTTGTAAGTACAGAAGTCTAACTGCTTTCTACATATGTAGTAAACATGTGGTGCACTAAGAGTAAAAGCAGTCACTAACTACCCACCATGATTATTATGGCTTGCACCATGTATACTTGGAATAAGTAAAAATAAAATACATTTCCTTAACAACATTGATATCATCTTCAGACAAATGAACTTAATAATAAAAATATCACAGCATGCTCATAAATAATTGGTACAGAATATGCAGTGATTATTTTCTCATTCCGTTTTTGTCTTGTTGTTAGCATTCATCAAGTCAAGTTTGATTTTTGGGTGACTATATGGACAGATATTCTCCAATTTGGTCTTTTCTTAGCACTGCTTAATATAGAACTGGTTTGCCAGTGCCTTCTTCCATTCATCCCGTTGGCCAAATAAATCTGGTTCTTCCGCCTTTAGGGGCGATTTCTCTTCCCCAAAGACACCTTATCTAGAATCCAAATTGAACCTTATGTTATAATGGCACAAATATAAGAGCCCCCCCTTCTTCCTAATCCCAACTCTTGAACACTAGATATCTTCATGAGAGATGGGAACTCTTGCCTTTGCTGGTCCCAAGCCCGGATGAAAAAGGAGGAGGGGAAGCAGTAACAAGCTCACTAAAAAACCTGGGCTCAGCTGGTCCGGCTGATAGCACCCTGTAAGGGCTCCTAATCCAGGGATACAGAATGAGCAGTGTTTGTACTCCATATTAGGAGCGGCTGCACATGGCGTCTGTTCCTCATGTCAGAGGCGGCCATTTCTTTTGGAGCTAAGTCAGCCTGCTACTGAGTAGTGCTCCCAGTCTTAATGACAAAGACAGACACATTCTACTTCACCCAATCATGATGGTTGTCAAATCTCTTTTTCAAAATTCTCAAGCTTGATACCCTAATATGATTGAGTGGAGATAAGAAAGAAGAAGATGAGAGATGGGTAGTGTCTATTAATGTGTACAACACTTTTTTGATGTAAAGATCTGAATCAATTGCAGTCAGGGTGGCCAAGGGGAAGCATTGAAAGTGATGGTGTCAGTAATGGTAGTTTTCAACCTGGACCAGGGTCATGTCGAGGGTGTTTAGAAGATGTCTGAAGGTTGTCCCACTGTTGTACCAGTGGTGGTTTATTGTGAACTTCCAATTTACTGTGTGTGAGATAATCATCATCTTTTTCAAAATTCTCAAGCTTGATACCCTAATATGATTGAGTGGAGATAAGAAAGAAGAAGATGAGAGATGGGTAGTGTCTATTAATGTGTACAACACTTTTTTGATGTAAAGATCTGAATCAATTGCAGTCAGGGTGGCCAAGGGGAAGCATTGAAAGTGATGGTGTCAGTAATGGTAGTTTTCAACCTGGACCAGGGTCATGTCGAGGGTGTTTAGAAGATGTCTGAAGGTTGTCCCACTGTTGTACCAGTGGTGGTTTATTGTGAACTTCCAATTTACTGTGTGTGAGATAATCAGTGTAATTCCTGCTTTTTGTATGGAATTGTCATATGTACTCAGTACTATGTCTCTTTAGTTGTCTATTAGGTTTTGGCATCACAACCATGCTTAAAAAATATGTATATTTATGTATATGTGAAAAAATTAGAAAAAATATATATATAGAAAAAAGGGTCACAGGTTTTGATATTAAAAATAAAAAATGCATAATTTTGTTCTACTAGATGGCACTCTGCCATCTATTGACCGTCTGCACAAACTAGCAGACTCAGGTTAGTGACGAAGCCACGAGACCAGATTTGGCAAATTGAGAAGCATCCACCTATATAAATATATATATATTTTGAAAATATAGCAATCCATAAATAGATCTTTAATTAAAAAGGCATATGTTAGATCAAAATTGGTAAAATAAATTATATTTTGATCCAATATATGCCTTTTTAATTGAAAATAAATATAATGTATATATGACATATGATGGGTGTAAATTACCAGAGCCTCATGGCTGGGAGGGTCCAGGAAGTCAAAGTGGACCAGGTCGTTGATGCCAAGGGACTTGAGGAGCAGCACCACATTGCCTAGGTTCACCCTCTGGATCTCAGGGACATTGTCATTGTCCATCTCATGCTGGTAGGCCCAGGCTGTGTAGAGACGGAAGCATTTCCCCGGAGACACTCGACCGGCCCGGCCAGCACGTTGATTGGCTGAGGCTTTAGACACAGGGCAGATGATGAGGGACTCCACCCCGGTCTTGGCATTGTAGGAGTTCTGCTTGCAGTAGCCGGGGTCAATGACGTACACAATCCCGTCGATGGTCAGGGAGGTCTCTGCGATGTTGGTGGCCAGCACAACCTGCACATCCCAGTCAGGTTCTAGCTTGGTACCAGACAGAAATATAAATTACTTGTTTGATGTTATTTTCAAATACACCTACCCCCCGATTTACACGGTACTTGTTTTACACGTTTTCGCTTTTACACGGTTTCCAAATAAGTTTTTTTTTTTTGTTTTTATCGCACTATACTAAATGCTACTGTGATTGAACACATGCGCTGTGTACACATCTCACGAGGAATCCCGAGCTTATGTGCTGACTTGCTGCACACGCACACTGTGTCTGTATTTCTAATTTAAAAAAAAAATTAATTTTCGATTTACACGTTTTTCTCAGGAACGTATCTATCGTGTAAATCGGGGGATAGGTGTATTATTTTTATTCATTTAACTATTATATTCTGTGACTTAATAATCTGTGGTGTTAGGAATGTATATATATATATATATATATACAGTTAAACCTGTCTATAGCGCCCCCTCTTGGGACTCACCAAAATAGGGTGCTATAGAGAGGGGGTGCTATAGACAGGTCACTTTTAATGTCAAATTTTTACATTTTAATGTTTAAAATCAGGCGCTATAGAGAGGAAGGCGTTATTTAGAGGGGGCGCTATAGACAGGTTTGACTGTATATATTAGAGCTAATATAGATTTAAGGTGAGAGTTAATAGAAATACATATTATTAGAAAGAGTTAGATTTTACTAGTAATGTTAACTTTGATATATTTAGTAATTTATGTTCCTTATTTTTGTACCTTCAATAAAGAAGATTTATATTTTAGAAGAGAAATAATAATTGCAATCCAAAAACAATATCTATATATATAAAAATGA